ACATAATAATAATGCTCGAAAGCATACTCTACATGTAAGTTGATGACTTAAAAATAACTATAATTATGATAAATATTTTCTTTCTGCACGTTTTCTTGGCACGGACCCTAAGTTGCACGCATTATTGCATGTTTGTTCCACACACAGCACTCTGCACATGGTGTGTCACACAGAGGTCTCTATTGTGGTTAATCTTTACTCTTTTTAACGACTGGATTTCTCAGCTTTATGCAGACAAACAAAACATAAACCAGTATTTATTGACTCAAAAGCTTTTGAATATTAAGAATTATTTCCTTCTATATGCTTAAAAGGACAATTTTCTACATTTTGTAATGAAAAGTTTTTCTTTTGAATTTTTTTCCTAAAAATACTACTTTTTTTACAAAACACTTAAAAAAGTAATAAAAATACATGCTTTTTGGCTTAAGCTAAACATTTGTTTTCACCTAAAAGTGTCCATAATTTTCAACCATAACTCAACTTTCCTTTGAAATACATATCATTTGAATGTGCAAAAATAGTTAACATCCATTAATTTTTCTCCCTTTTATCTAACTAAATGAAATGCATTTATTATTACATTTCTAGCAATCTACATTTTCCATTTAACTTGAAATAAAAAACCTCATTAAATTTCTGAATCTACATTTTTCCTAAGAAACTAGACTTGAAAAAAGAAAGACTAAAACCATTGGAACATCATTTAAACACAACTGGTCTTGAAGATACTTTTCAAAAAGACAGTAACACACTCACCATTTTACCAAATCTAAGATCAGAAAGGATAATAAACATTGCCTGACTTAATATGATTAACCTTGCAGTGTATGTTCCCGTATGTAGACTTACATTGTACATGTCTTACTATATACATAACATTTACAGTGTACATACATGTATGTATATTATACAACTGTGCCAAGTACATGTAGACAATCATGTAGTTCCCGATTGCTATGCATGATGTGTGTGCATCTGTAGTATAGTACATGTAGATACGATAGACCGATGATGTAGATGTTTAGATGTCGTCTCACCACTGTTCTTTCTCTCCCTCATGCCTGGTGGTGGATCCAGGGCGAGTTACAGGTTTGGTTCTTTCCTTCAGTCTTCTGCTGCCTCCCTGCTACACACTGCCCCACCTACAACTGGTCATGCAAAGATCAGTTACATGCTCAGTGGTTAACGTGTTAACCGAAATTTATATAAATTTAGAATAAGCTCTGACTACTAGTTTTCCAAATAACCAAAATTTATTTCAAAATTAAAGCTGTACTAGTTTTCCAAATAACCCAAAATTTATTTCAAAATTGAAGCTCTACTACATGTAGTTTTCCAAATAACCAAAATTTATTTCAAAATTGAAGCTCCACTAGTTTTCCATTTTTGGCAGTTCACAAAATTTGAATATCTGTATTTGTAAAATTGTATAGCCGGTATAACCACCCCATGGTGTAACACACCAGAAGGTCTAAGGGTCCCTTGTTTAACAGTTGTTTCACTGACTCAAAGTTTCACTTTAAAACTGAAGCTTGAGAACTTTTAGACATAAAAATCGAGGCTCTTGGACTCCTTCTTTTGGCAGTTTCAAACAAATCAAGTTCTGGATCTTTTCGTACAAACCTCTTTGCCAGTTTGTCTGCAGGAAAAATTCCATTGAAACTTTTATACCGTTGTAAAGTTTTTATGAAATCCAAATATGTAACTCAATCGACCAAATTTGATCCTTCAAAGTTGTGGCCAGAAGTAGGTGGGATAGGCCATGCGCTGCTGATGTGCTGCTGTAGTAAAGAGCTTCCCTAACCCAGAGTGTGTGTGTGTGCATTGTGTGTGTGCATGTGTGGTTTCTGCTCTAACCACAGACAAATGATTCTTAAGATCACAGGAATCCTGCAATACTCTGATGCCTAATTTCAACTGAAGCATCCTTTAATTTGCAGCATTAAGTTACTCTCCAAGCAGAGGTTTGGTTGGGTTGGGTGAAAGAAAAATTCCAGTGCAAAAAAATAAAAATAAAGAAATAAAAAAAGTCTAAAATCACGCCAAAAATAACCCCAAACCCAAACCTCTGCTTGGGTAGTAACTTTAACTTACGGTATGATATTTAAATGTATGCTAACTTTTCATTCAATCCAATATTTAAGCATAATCAGGACATAATAATAATGCTCGAAAGCATACTCTACATGTAAGTTGATGACTTAAAAAATAACTATAATTATGATAAATATTTTCTTTCTGCACGTTTTCTTGGCACGGACCCTAAGTTGCACGCATTATTGCATGTTTGTTCCACACACAGCACTCTGCACATGGTGTGTCACACAGAGGTCTCTATTGTGGTTAATCTTTACTCTTTTTAACGACTGGATTTCTCAGCTTTATGCAGACAAACAAAACATAAACCAGTATTTATTGACTCAAAAGCTTTTGAATATTAAGAATTATTTCCTTCTATATGCTTAAAAGGACAATTTTCTACATTTTGTAATGAAAAGTTTTTCTTTTGAATTTTTTCCTAAAAATACTACTTTTTTACAAAACACTTAAAAAAGTAATAAAAATACATGCTTTTTGGCTTAAGCTAAACATTTGTTTTCACCTAAAAGTGTCCATAATTTTCAACCATAACTCAACTTTCCTTTGAAATACATATCATTTGAATGTGCAAAAATAGTTAACATCCATTAATTTTTCTCCCTTTTATCTAACTAAATGAAATGCATTTATTATTACATTTCTAGCAATCTACATTTTCCATTTAACTTGAAATAAAAAACCTCATTAAATTTCTGAATCTACATTTTTCCTAAGAAAAACTTACACTGAAAAAGCCTGATTAATACTAGCTGTGTCTGCCTAAAGCTGAGTGATCTGAGTTGTTCCTCTGACTTGTCCCTTACTTCTCCCTGGTGCTGGCCATGGTGTAGGCTACTCGTACAACTGTCACCACCACACGAACTGCCGTAGATACACAGAACTTACAGGTTTGGGCTACTACTCTTCCTTCTCTCTGGTATAGAAATACTACTACAGTAAACTACTACATGTAACTGTAACTGTAACAGGTAGTCCTCATGTTGAGCAACTTTTCTACTGAAATCCACATCCTTTAAATGGCGGGAAGGTTGGAGAAAATGAATAGTAATTTTTTTTAATATCATGGACTTGGTACAACACTCTGCTGACATAGTTTTGGGGAAAATAATCTTTTAAAGATGCTATTTCTCATGGTCACAAAAAATAACCTATATAAAATATAACCATTGTGGATTTCAGTCTTAGAAAAGAGCTTGAACATCTCTTTTCTATTTCTCTGACTTGTAAATTTATCTTAACTTTTTACATTAGTATTACCTTGAACTCTTAGTATATTCTTTAAGCTGCTGTACTCTGAAATGTTTGTCTCAAAGTCCCTTGCTCCCACTCTTTGGAAAAACTGGATCCATCTTAACTTAAACATTAGACTTAAACTTTTTAATATAAGTATTTGTATTGCTACATGTTCTGTTCTATCTAGTAACTTGTGTGTTTTGTGTTGTCCATCTCTGTGACTACTAGTGAATGTTCTACAATTGACTTCACCTACATATACCATCTCCCTCCTTTCCATAATGATTTCCTATCAATTTAACAATACCCAACATTACACAATACAATTATCATGTTGAACATCTGTATTTATATTGTAGTGTTTGGGAGGACAACTTGTAAAGTTGTCAATACACCTGTTTTGTCCTCCCTTCCAGTTGTGTATTTTTGCACTTGTGGTAAATTCAAATAAACAAATCAGATTCCTATTAAAATGTTGTTTCCTGTATAAGAGAAAAAGTGTTCTCAGGTTGAAACAGTATTGCACTCAAAACGTGGCAACACCTTTAAGATCTTACATTCTACCATTGCTAGACTGTTAGTATATCTTGTCTGCCTCACAACTTGTATGATAGCACATCTTCACTCTAACTCTCTTTCTTCTTAACTTCTTCTCACTGCTAAGGCTGATGAGACTGATGCTAAGGTTGGACACCAAGATGCACAATTTTTGTCCTTTTTTGCCTCAAAGTGCACATCAGTATATTTAGTACCTAACAATTGTTGAAATGAAGTAACTTGAGAAAATATTAGCATGTCTATCACTTTTGAAATATCTCACTTTTCATGTGCATGCAGTAATTTATCGTATGTTTGACATCTGTGACTATATGGAGATTTAACAATTTCTTGCTCCGTGCCACAAAATATTTCTTACAATGAAGATGCACTTGAAGTAGTACTTTTCTTGAATGTAACCTTTCTCGAATGTAACCTGCATCTGTAACAATGTAGGAATTTAACAATTTCTTGCTTGGTGCCACAAAGTATTTCTTACAATGAAGATGCACGTACAACTCACTTTAAGTAGTAAACTTTTCTTGAATGTAACCTCCCCTCTTCTTGCACCGCTGCCTCTCTAAAGGCATCTTGGAAAGACTTAGCTTTCCGCTTGAATGTGATTGCGGTAAGTCTGTATAGATCTTCTTGCCTTGAAAATATTCACTGTCTCATGCACACTTTAAAAGGTGTTGACATTGTGCCACAGTCATATAAATGTACATGTACAACTGAAAAAATTGGTAATCATTTTAAAGGGAAAAACACAAGACCACAAAACAAGAAATATCCATCTTACATGCCTTCCACAAACTTGTCTGCTGTCCAACTCACTCCAACTCAATACACATTAATCATTTTGTATATCCTGAAAAATATTAAATCATAGTGTAACATGAATTGCTTTAATTTGAATCAGTTATAATCTGCTTAATACAACATACTTACTGTAAATAAATGATATGAATAATATCTATGTTCTGTTGTGTCATAAATATTATGATTTTGCTTTTGTCATTCATCCATTGTCTGTACATGTAACATCACCATGGATACATGTAACTGTGCAATAATTCCCATTTCAGGTTGTGATGCAATGTCTACCCTCAGGCAGTGTTCTAGCCAGTATCTGTCTTTCCGTCGTTTGATGGAATTTTGCTGCTTATGACAGGCAAAAATTTTGCCTATTCAGTCATCTTTCACAGACAAACATTGGTGTGTAAAGGGATGTGAAGAGATGTCATTCAATAAGCTTAGTCTACGTACCAGCAAAATTTGCCCCTCTAAATACAGGAAATAGTGTTTCAGAGGGTTAAGATTTGAAAATTTCCATGGGGAGCTAGCCCATGGACCTCCTAGAATTGTTGCCATGCTATTAAAAAAATGTATGTCAAACAAAATTGAGAGGTGGGAAAAATATTTCAGGCTGGCTAGAACACTACTCTCATATATTACTCATAATGTCTCACTGCTTAATTAATTAATAAAATAATTAATTAAGAGCGATAATTGGCCACCCTTTACGCTTTGCGAGATCCGACATGCGTTTGCCGTGATTTTTCCCTCCACGCTGCGTCTGCCGCTGTTTTGATTTTCTCACCAACCACCCATTTTTTCATTTTCCAGGCTTGTGTGTGTTTTTGATGTGCATTTTGTTTGTTTTTCATTTATTAATTGCTGCTGCATTCATTTATACCATCCCATGCATTGTGCTGTGACTGTTTTTGTTTGTTTGTGATTTTTGGTTTGTTTGTTTGTTTGTCGTCAATGATGGATCATTGAAGAAACCCACATCCAATCAGATCATCCTGTCTCCAAGTTTCTTAAACATGAAAGCTCTTCTTTGAAGAATTCAGAGTTGGTCCAGAATTTCTCTTGAAGTTTAATCTACAAAATTTTCCTGGTGTATTGGAAAAGGGCAATTTGATCTAAATTATACAAATTCATGAATATGCAATGTGTATATTTAAGCCAAGCAGGTGTACAAACTTAGGAATGTACAATTCCTGAAGCAAATGCAGACAGTGAGACCTGCACTAATCAAATTATTGTGACAACAAGATATCAAAAAAGGTTGTCTTTGTTGAAAATGGAATCATGAATTTCAAAGCAATAGAAGTGAAAATTTAAATTGTTTTCAAAATTCTGGACCGACTCGAGTGAGAATGCAGACTGCCATTTTGTAACTCACGTTCCTCCCGACCCCCCAAACAACAGAACCTGAACCAGCGCTGGGCAGCCCTGGAGCAGCTCGCCAGTGATCGCAGCGCCACCTTGGGGAGTGCACATGAAGTGCAGCGCTTCCACAGGTAGGAAACTGTTTAAAGTTAAAACTTTAGATCCAACACAATAAAGTTCTCTCACCTAGAGCTTTCAACCAGTCACTCTGGTCTTTCTCAGTAGACTGACCCAGTGAGACTTGTCATGTGGCTTCTTTGAAGTGTGATGTCAATACCGGGTCAAAGGTATCTAGTAGATAATCAATGACATGTAGACTCTTTTTTTCATATTTACATTATCAGTTCATAGTTTCTCTGTAAATACCAGGTTCAAATACAGATTCTGTTAGTCACTGACGAAAAGAAGTGGATGTTACTCGAAACGTCTGACAGTTTTCAAAATCTATCCAGTTGCTTGAGTAACAATTTTCTTGTGTACATATAATCATTCCCTGGATGTGTAACCTACATTGACGCTGTTTTCATGTTCACTTTTTTTCATGTTAACTTTTCATCTGAGAAACAACAAAATTGAGTTGTGGCCATACCAAGACAATTTTCTCCCCCCCTCCTCAGGGATGCAGAGGAGACCAAAGACTGGATAGCTGAGAAGGACCAGGCCCTGAACACAGATAACTACGGACACGACCTGGCCAGCGTACAGGCTCTGCAGCGCAAACATGAGGGCTTCGAGAGGGACCTCGCCGCTCTGGGGGATAAGGTGGGCTTTTAGTCTTACTACTAACTGGCTCTTTAGTTGTTTTTTTTGTCACATAGGAAAGATTGCACAAAAAATCGAGGACTGGGGTGACAAAGCTTTTAAAAGTTTATTAATCATCAGATATTGTCAGCTGCCACTTGTGCAAAAGAAGAGAATTCAAAACAACCCTCAAGTGAAGTAGTAGTTTCATGTATTTCCAACATTTCTGTATGTTCTGCTAAAGGTAGCAGTGCAGTTTCTGTATTTGAAATGTATCTATATTATGAGAGACTATAAACTGTTCTCCAACAAATTACTCAGAATTTCTTCTTATGTTATTTTTACAACCTAAATGAACTTTCTGCTATCTGATTGCCTTGTTTCACAATGTTTCATCTCAGATATAGATTAGTCATGTTAAACCAGAACCCCACTTAACCCTGCCCCCTCCCCCAGGTTCACTCCCTGGATGACACCAGCCAGCGCCTGATCCAGACCCACCCCGAGGCCGCAGACTCCATCTCTGATTGCCTTATTTGACAATGTTTCACAAAGACATAAACCTATCTAAACAAACACATAGATTATGGCATAGACCCCAAGTTAACTCGATGCCCCCCTCTACTCCCAGGTCCACTCCCTGGATGACACCAGCCAGCGCCTGATCCAGACCCACCCCGAGGCGGCAGACTCCATCTCGGAGAAGCAGTCGGAGATCAACGACGCCTGGGGAAACCTGACGGCCCGCGCCGACGCTCGCAAGGCCAAACTCATGGACTCACAGGACTACCAGCGATTCCTGTCTGACTTCAGGTATGGCTTTTTCTTAGCAAACCAGCAAGAATATGGAAACCAGCATTCTGACAAACACATGTTTTAAAGTAACATTTTACCAAGTAGCATCTGATTTTTCTCGTAGCAGGATACATCGACAAAAGACTCTGAGAAGAGCCTGAATATACCAAGTCCTGTGTTCACTCCCTGAAATTGTGTATTCCAAGATAGACTTTCCCCTTAAACGTTACCCTATTTTCATGCTGAAATATCAGTTTAAAGATAGTTTCTTTGACCTGAATACAAAAAATCGTTTCTGAATCAAGGTTGAACTGTAGTTCTAAAACAAAAAGTTCTTGTGTTGGAAAGTACAGTTCAACCTTGATTCAGAATGACTTCTAAGTTAGTAAACACAAACTTTCAGCATAGCCTACAAATGTAGCTAGCAAGCAAGCATTTAATAAAATTGGTGTGACCTTACTTCTCTTCTAGGGACCTGATGTCGTGGATCAACGGCATCATGACGCTGGTGTCCTCGGACGAACTCGCCAAAGACGTGACGGGGGCGGAGGCTCTGCTGGAGCGGCACCAGGACCACCGGACAGAGATCGACGCCCGAGCCGGAAGCTTCCAGGTCTAAGTCACTGTTTGTCTTAGACAGTATGTCAAAGACATTGTCAATAATGATGTGAACATTTGTGTTAATGCCTGTGTAAATAAATGTGTAATGAATTTGCATGTGTAACTGGACGTAATTCACCTTTTAGCTGCAAAGTCCACGTTTTTTACGAATTAAACACCATTTGATTGATTGATTGATTGATTGATTGATTGATTGATTGATTGATTGATTGATTGATTGATTGATTGATTGATTGATCGATTGATTGATTGTGATTGCTTGATTACTTGATTGATTGATTGATTCCAGGCCTTCGAGAACTTTGGGCAGCAGCTGCTCGCCAAGAACCACTACGCCAGTCCGGACATCGAGGAGAAACTGGCCACGCTGGCACGGGAGAGGGAGGAACTCGAGAAGTAAGGAAAATTTCTTTCTGAAACAGTTTTAAACTGTAATTTAACATTTTATATAATTATCTGGTTATAAAGGCTACTTATCTAGATATAAGAACCACTACGCCAGCCCGGACATCGAGGAGAAACTGGCAACGCTGGCACGGGAGAGGGAGGAGCTGGAGAAGTAAAGAACATTTTATATCTTATATGAAACAAAGCCCATTATCACGTGGAACTCGTAGAGAGAAAGAGAGAGACATCTAGGACAGAATAGCAAAGTCCTTTATTCACAACCACTTATGAACAAGACTTGACATTTTAATCACTATCTGTCATCTTCATAATACAGTCATCAAAATGTTGGCTCCTGTTAAACACAAGTGGTTGTGAATAAAGAACATGCCTTTCAATCATTTGCCAACCTGATGAAATTATTTACGGAAGAAACAAAGCCTCTGTTACCTGGAACTCTCAGCGAGAGGAAAAGAGGTAGATTCAGGATATATGTTAGGCTATTGTTGGAATATGCTAAATGAAATTATTATCGTTATCCATAGGGCCTGGGTAGCCCGTCGTATGAAGCTTGACCAGTGTCTGGAGCTGCAGCTGTTTAACCGTGACTGTGAGCAGGCCGAGGCATGGATGGCATCCCGAGAAGCCTTCCTGCAGGAGGCTGAGGGGCCTGAGGGGTCCTCGGTGGAGGCTATGATCAAGAAACATGAGGACTTTGATAAGGCTATCAATGCACAGGTGTGTGCGTGGACACAGTTTTCTAGCTGGTGTCCATCTTTCTGTCATTTGATGCAGTTTTGCTGCTCATGACAAGCAAAAATTTTGCCCAATTTTCTATCTTTTATGGAAATATTGGCATTAAGGATGTTGAAAAAGATGTCATTATATGTTTAAGTGTTGCAATGTTTCAAAAATGTCAGGAACACCGAACAACACCTTATCCATAATATGGGATGAAAGCTGTTCTAGTAGAGCAACAAAAGACCTTACACTGTTTTAAGGAATGAACTTGTTTCAACTTCGACTTTTGAATAGCTCATAGCCAGTTTTTGTTTATCTACTGTTCTTGTTTATGATACTTGCCCTCCTCCAGTCTTCTTTTCATTGACTGTATGTAAGTTTTGAACAGCTCATAACCAGTTTTTGCGTGTTTATTTACTGTAAGTCCTTTTTTATTCCCACACAGGAGGAGAAGATCCTTGCCCTGCAGTCGTTCGCTGACCAGCTGATCGCGGCTGACCACTACGACTCTCCGGCCATCACTGACCGTCGGGACGAGGTGCTGGACCGCTGGCGCTCCTTGAAGGCTGCCCTGATCGAGAAGCGCTCCAAGGTAAAGCCCCTGTCATACATTCACGAATTTTGCCTCCCGAACGCTAGCCGAACACCCGCCAACCATGGTTAGTGGTGGGATGGCTGGCATTCGGCTGGGTCAGCTACTGATATTCAATAAATCTGACTCTGGTGTCAGGTGGCAAAGTGCTAGAGCATTCGACTATGAAACGGTGAGACCCAGGTCCTTTGCTGACCATGCACCCTGACGTTGTGCTCTTGGGAAAGGCATTTACATGACTTTCCTCACTCCACCCAGGTGTGAATGGGTACCTAAGTTCGGTTCGGGAAAGTCGTACTGAGGTCACCTGGTGGCACCGAATGGCAGCCGCACAGACCCTTGCGACAGTTCTACAAAAGTGTGTGGAGCAAATATGAATCATGTGATCGTAAACCCTGCATCAATTCAAATGTATAAAAGGCTGTGATTGCACAGGTAATGTTTGACCAATAAACCATTTATCATTATTTTTAATCCACAGCTGGGAGAGTCCCAGAGCCTTCAGCAGTTCAGCCGTGATGCTGATGAGATCGAGGCCTGGATCAGTGAGAAACTGCAGACAGCCACGGATGAGAGCTACAAGGACCCTGCTAACATACAGGTTAGTTTGTTCCAGCATTCAGATTTACAGTCAAATATGTAGTAGTAGTCACTTCTTCATAAGGACCCTGCTTGCATCCAGGTTTGTGACACGGCTGCATCTTCTTTCATGTTGATATAGATGTTTCTAACAGTGTTCCAGAAGTACAGTCAAACTTGTACTTTAAGTCTAGTGATCACTTCTTTAGTGTACAGCCAAACCTGTACGAGTGATCACTTCTTCATAAGGACCCTGCTATGCTAAACATCCTTGTTATTGAAGGCTGCAGCTTCTTTCCTGCAAATGTTCCTTTCTCCAGGATGCTGAAGAATATAGATTTGAAGTACCACAATTTTTCGTTCATAAAGTTCTTTTTTTATTTCCAGAGCAAGCACCAGAAGCACCAGGCGTTTGAGGCTGAGCTGGCTGCTAACGCCGACCGTGTGCAGGGGGTCATCGGCATGGGACAGAGTAAGTCCTACATTTACTTAGTGTTTAATACCATTTTTATGCATTTTATGCTGATAAAGCTTTTCTTGTGACATCTATAACTTTGTGTGTCACAGTAGTAAACTTAGCATTTGCTGCTGTAGCAGACACCCTGTGGTGTCGGGTTACATTATGTGGCAAGTTGGAGGGGCTGGTTACTGTATATACATGATTGTATGAATGTGTTTGTCAAGAGGAAAAATGACAAAACAGTAGTTTGTTAGGCTAGACCGTGTGAAGGTACCTTGCAAATGTTACTTTTCTCGTTTTTGTCTGGAAAAAACCCTGCCCTGAGACTGGGGAAAACCCTGCCCTGACTCCTGAGTATGTTATCTCAGGTAAAATGACTAACTTTTTCCCCTCCCCAGGTCTGATAGACCAGAACAAGTGTGCAGGTAGTGAGGAGGCGGTCAGTGCTCGGATTGTCAGCCTGGGCGACCAATGGGAGCCTGAGTATGTTGTATTGTCAGCCTGGGCGACCAATGAAATGACTAATTTGTCCCTCTTCAGGTCTGATTGACCAGAACAAGTGTGCAGGTAGTGAGGAGGCAGTGAGTGCTCGGATTGTCAGCCTGGGCGACCAATGGGAGTACCTGGTGCAGAAGTCTGCCGAGAAGAGCCAGATGCTGAAGGAAGCCAACATGCTGCAGGTAAGAATCAACTTCTCTGTCACTCACTGGAGCTACGTGTAACTGTGCTATATACTGTTGTCTTATAGTGGAGTAAAGCATCAACTTTTTTTGCAACACAAGGAACGAGACTCAACAAGTTTGATTGGATTTCTAGCCTTTTTCTTGATATATAAGTTAGTACATTCAGACCCTTGTGTATCATCTTCTGTGCTTGTCTGCCTGACTCAGTATGTCTGTCAGTCTTTGCATGTGTTTGTGTGTGTGTGCATGTGTGTCTGGGGTGTGTACCTCTATGTGTGTGTATGTGTGTGCATGCATGTTTGTATGTCTGTGTGAGTGTGTGTGTGTGTTTATGCCTATTAGTGTGTGTGAGCATTTGTGTGTCTGTGTGTAATGCACTGTGTATCTGTGTATGTGTATGTGTGTGTGTGTGTTTGAGCACAATACTGCATGTTACATGTATACTATATATAATTGCAGAACTTCAACACAGGAGTGAAGGAGATCGAGTACTGTTTGTATGTGTGTACATGTAACTATGTTAACTTTGTATCAGTGTAAGTGTATATGCTTGTCTGTGTGTACATGCATGTGTGTGTTTGAGCACAATACTCTGAAATACAGATGAAGTCTGCCATTTCTAATTTGTTTCCCATTTTCCTCTGCAGAATTTCAACACCGGCGTGAAGGAGATAGAGTACTGGCTGACTGAGGTGGAGGCTCTGGTCCAGTCTGAGGACTACGGTAAGGACCTGGCCTCCGTCTCCAACCTGATGAAGAAACACCAGCTTCTGGAGGCTGACATCACCGCGCATCAGGTAAAGCCCACGTCACACATAGCCAGCCATGGCCTCTTGGAGCACATCAGCAGAACATACTGCGCCTACCCAAAACCTGGATTTTTATTCACATTTTATTCATTATTTTATTCACATTTATTTTTCGATTGGGCAAAAAGTTATAAAACTTATCTCAGCCCTCTCCTCACACATAAAAGGAAACAATAAAACAAAGTAATAATAATAAGAAGAAGAAATGACAAAGGTACATAAACCTGGATTTTTCACGTTTTTCGTTGAATGTTTGGTTAACGTTGTGTTAGAATTTTGCCTGTTGCAGACAATATCTTTTCTGACACAACATTTGAAAACTATAGACGGGATGTCATCCATAAATGCACTGATACAAACAGAAAACAAGATGTTCTGCCAAAGTGCTATACACAATACATTATGGGTTGTGCACATGCGCAGTACGTTCTGCCTCCTAGTCTTAGTTGTACGTAAAATCATCTGTGGTTCAGAGTTGTTTGGCAATTAGGGTTGCCTATTAGTCACCTGTGCTAGCTGACCAACTCAGATGAACTTTCATACTAAGTCTAACTTCTGTAGCATCATACCTTGTCACACCCTTCTTATGCTGTATGATGTTTTTTTGTTTAGGACCGTATCCGTGACCTGAACAACCAGGCTGACACCTTCATCTCCTCCAACCACTACGACATGGAGTCCATCAAGGAGAAGAAGACCACCATCAACACACGCTTCGAGCGGCTGCAGAGAAGAACTTTCACTTGATTTTCTAACCTAAAGCTATGTTTTCTGGTAGGACCTGAAGAACCAGACCAACATCTTCACAACTTTGCTGCCCCAGAAACAGAGATGGGCATTGCCCCATGCACCACATTGTAGCTGAGGGAAGGATTTTGACTTTGTTTCCTTGACTTTCTTATCTAAAATTTCGTTTTCCGTTTAGGACCGTATCCGAGACCTGAACAACCAGGCGGACACCTTCATCTCCTCTAACCACTACGACATGGAGTCCATCAAGGAGAAGAAGACGACCATCAACACACGCTTCGAGCGGCTCCAGAGAAGAACTTTCACTTGATTTTCTAACCTAAAGCTTTGTTATCCGGTAGGACCTGAAGAACCAGACCAACATCTTCACAACTTTGTTACTCCAGGGCTGCAGAAACAGAGATATAAGTGCAGAGAAGAACTTTGACTTGATTTTCTAACCTCACTCACTCACTCACTATCCAGGATTTATACTGCTGCTGTTGTCCCTACCACATACATGTAGGTCGGCAGCAGTCGGCTAGTAGTACTGGTCTTCACACTGCTCCTCCAGGCAGCCCTATCCAGTCGGTCAACACCTAAAGCTTTGTTTTCCATTTTGTTGTTTGTTTAGGACCGTATCCGTGACCTGAACAACCAGGCCGACACCTTCATCTCCTCCAACCACTACGATATGGAGTCCATCAAGGAGAAGAAGACGACCATCAACACACGCTTCGAGCGGCTGCAGAACCTGGCATCGGAGCGGCGACAGCGCCTGCAGGAGTCCCTCACACTGCACCAGTTCTTCAGGGACATTGATGATGAGGAGGCTTGGATCAAGTGAGTGGTTTAAAGTGTTGTTTTGCCAAAGTAACTGTTGCTGAATCAACTGGATAGATTATGACAATGGATAGACGTTTACGGTTAATGACCCCGAACAAGAAGTCTTTATCAAGAGTGTGTTTTAAAGTGTTGTTTACTTTTGATGTAATGAGAAGTGCCCTGCCTTGTTTGTATGGCCCAGTTGATCACAAGTAATATTTATCAATCCTGTTGCTTGAGTAACAGTCCTACATTTATGTAGAATTCAGATTGACAACTTCTTGGGCAAGGTCACTGGACTACACCTAGCTACATAAACGTAGCCGTACTGTTACATCGGCAATTGGGTAGATTTTGAAAGCGGTCAGACATTTCAGGTAGCATTCACTACTTTTCATCAGTGACTGAAAGAAAACGGTAGTCAACAGGCACCAGTGGATATGTTGTACAATAAAGGTCTTCCTTCATTCAGTTTGTTCCTTATTTCTCATGCCCACCCAGGGAGAAGAAGCTCCTTGTGAGCTCAGACGACTACGGGCGTGACCTGACCGGAGTGCAGAACCTGCGCAAGAAACACAAACGTCTGGAGGCTGAGCTGGCAGGACATGACCCTGCTATTCAGGTACTTATTTATTCATGAAGATTTACCACATTTGTGGAAGTTGACATAACAGGTGACTATCACCCTCAGTGGTACCCCTAGTGGGGTTGCTAGAGGGAAACCCTAGATGAAGATGAAGATGTCAAACCTGAAACCAGACTGTAAGGTTTGAACCACTCACACCTGGAAGGACCCCTGTGGGTGTGGGGGGATCTTTATCATGCTCAAGGGGTGGCTCTCTTAAACAGATAACATCTGCTATATGTCCAATTGAGAGGATGTCTCTAGCTGGGTACTTATTTTCACAATGAGTCAAGTGAGGAAATATGTGTTAAGTGCCTTCCCAAGGGCTCAACACTGGGGCCTGCCAGGGATTCAAACACAGAACCTTCAGAGTCAACAACCCTTACCTTGTGACCACCTTGCCACCTTACAGTCTTTTGTATTGGCGCTCACCTCTGCATAGATTCATACCTCTGTCTGATTAGATGATAAGTTGATTCAGGTACTCAAAGATTCATATCTCATATGTTTTGTGGCAAGGATCCTTTGGAACTTCCTACCTCTATCTGATAATAACCTGATGTGTTTTTTCTCCTCCAGGCTGTACAGAACACAGGAGAAGGCCTGATGGCCCAGTCCAGTCTGGGAGCAGCCGAGATCCAGCGCAGGTGTGACGAGCTCACCGCCAACTGGTCAGAACTCAAACAGCTCGCAGCTAACAGGTAACCACATTGTCAACGTTCTGGCAGCATGCATGTTACAAACACAGGACTGTTTACAGAGTATGCCTCCTCACAGTCTATAGTTTTATATATATGGCGTAAAGTGTGTTGTAAGTGGTTGGTCAGGCCTTGCAGCCTTTCAGTCTAGTCATTTTTCAGAAAAATTCAAGAAACCAGGCTCTCTGGTACACACAGCTCATCCACCTCCTCTAATCATTGTCTCCTGATGACTACAGTAATTACAGTTATTTTGTGGAAATAAGCTTTAGTTGTCTTGTAAACGTCTGAATTTAAGATTAAAAAAATATCCAGCTGTTGCTGTAGTACGGTTTGTAATCAGTACAGATGTACATGTGTGGAGAGACAGATCAGACTGTGAAGAGGCATACTGTTGTTAGCAATTCCCTTTGGCTTCCTTGAATCTACTCTACAGTGGTATTTGCACCACCAGTTTCTTGGTATTGAGCTGGCTGTGGGTCTTGTCACTTGAAGTTGTGGCATCTGATTCTTGTCTTGAAGTATTCTCAAGGCTGTGGTTTAGGTGGATGGCTTGTTGGCTTGGGCTTGGTCTTGGTCTTGTTTGCTGACTGGTATTTGGCTGGAATGAGCCTGAGATTTGAAAGTGAGCCCCCTGCCCTTGTTCCCCGCTTGTATTGAGCCAGGCCCTAGTCCCTTTGTCTTGCAGCTTGGAGATTCCCTTAAGACAAAGTGTTTGTGGCTGCTTTTATCCAGCATGGCAGCCGATGGATTGTTCTTGAGCTTGTTGGCACTGAACAGTCTTTGGCTGTGCTAGCCTTGATCAATGATGTTGTCATGAGTCTTTTGGGTCATTATTGAACTTCTCATTAGACAACCCCAAGCTGTGCTTGCTGCAGATGTTGTCTTGGGCAGTTCTTGACTATGCTCGCTGTGGTCTTGTTATCTTGATTGTGCAGCTGTTGTGACAGATCCTGTCATCATCGAGTTAGTGGCTGCAGTGTTGCTTTGCACCTGATCCAACCGTTCTTGGGTTAGTGGCTTGGAAAGTGTTCCTCTCTGACCTGTACCAGGTTGGCACAGGATATTTTTCCCCACATCAGAGTTAGCCCCGCAGACATCCAGTGGTGGTGTATGCAGCTCTACGCACACTTCACAGACCTCAAAAACATGGCTAAGGAAAGGTGAGACATGGTCCCACATCTTTACCACAGTCTATAGGGTATAGGGGCAGTGCCCATCTCTGTAAAGGTTTTGTTAGTTCAGCACCAAGGAAAGGTCCTACTGCTCATGCAATAGTTAGTTATGCTCAGTTCAGCACCAAGGAAAGGTCCTGTTACCTAAGAAACATGGCCAAGGATAGGTTAGAGGTGGTTCCACATGCTGAATGAGGTTTTAAGAGTCTTTCCTACAACTTTCAGTGTAAAGGGGAGGTGTTCATCTGTACAATATTATTGTAAGAGGATTCGTAAGTTCAGCACCAAGGAGAGGTCCAATAACTTATGCAATAGTTAGTGATGCTCAGTTCAGCACCAAGGTAAGGTCCTGTTATCTGAAAAACATGGCTAAGGAAAGGTTAGAGAGAGCCCTGCGTTCTTCACACACCTTTCATTGTCTAGTGGCAGTGTCCATCTCTGTTTCTACAATATCATTGTGAAAGGTTTTGTTAGTTCAGCACCAAGGAAAGGTCCAATCAGTTATGTAATAGTTGGTGATGCTCAGTTTAGCACCAAGGGGAGGTCCAGTCACAGATAACTAGATGCTACTGCCAAGAATAATGTTTTGTTCCATGTGGTCTTTTTTGCCTTTAAAATGCAGGTTTTCAGGAGGTTCGTTGCTTGTAGTGTGTTCATTTGACACCTTTCTTGTTTAAGCCTTCTTGTAGCTGTTTGAGTCAGTTACTATCTGTGGTAAAGTTTAATGTGTGTTTTGTTATACACATTCTGACTTACATAATTAAGTTCAAACTGCTGTCCTATACCTGTGTGTCTACATTTCCCATCACAGAGGCCAAAAACTTGAAGACTCTCTGGCCTACCAGCAGTTCAGTGCTAATGTGGATGAGGAGGAGTCCTGGATCAATGAGAAGCAGAACCTGGTGTCCAGCGAGGACTATGGAGACACCCTGGCTGCCGTACAGGTTAGAACACAACATTTACTGTTACGTTGTGAAGATTAGTCATCCAGGGTAGAAAACTTGAGTCAGTAAGATAGTATTTTAGACTATGGAGACACCCTGGCCGCCATACAGGTTAGAATTATACACATTCAGAACATAACACATAGTTTCATTAGACTGCAAAACATTTACAGAACATAATGCTGTGGTCACAATTCCAAAATGGGGCCCGGTTCGGGCAGCTTTTGGGAACGAAAAGTATGATATAATAGAGAGGAAAGCACAAAAGGTTTTGGAAACTAATTGAATACTATTTGTATCATATAATTTTTCATTGATGCAAACATCCCAGCCAGGCCCCGGTTTGGAAATCTGACCTCAGCACGATACAAAGTTTCTCTATATTGCACAGCCATCATAAAGTGGGAATGCCACCATCAAGACACGTTGTTGAAAAGTTTACATTTGACTATCCAAGACGTGAATAAAGATTTCACCACTGAAGCCTCGATTATTGGAAGGATACAGCATACAATGAAAAGTACAGGGCTTTTCAGCTTTTTTAAACAAGCTCAGAATGTACCTCTGTTCCTCTTTATTCTCTATCTACACTATTTATGTTCAACTTGGTAACATGCTTATAGTATTACATTGTAACTATAATATAGTACTGTACATGTAGTTCCTTTCTGCATCCTGAAACACTTGTATGTTGACTGTGGATGATACAGTTATTATACTTTTAGAAACCTTTTTTATGCATTGTTTTTAGATTGTGCCCTGTGCATGTTGTGTCCTTGAGTTGCACTTGCATCTTATAAAAGAAAGAGTTTTTTTTACAACAATTTCCATGAATTATAACCCCATTTCCACTTCAGTTGACTTGCCTTGGTTTGAGACAGACTGTTTCTTTTCCTTTTCTTTGCTGTCCTTTTCTTAAGTTTTCTGGCTGCCACGTTTCTCCCCAACAGTATTTTCTGAACCTTTCTACTGAGTTGGGAGCGGTTTCTGCCACTATGAAGGTAAAACCCGCCTGTCTCCACATTCCACCTTGTTCCTCCCTCCTCTGTTTCGTTACCGTTAACGCCCCCTATCCTCTGTAGCAGGCTTATAGAACTGGGGGTTTGGTGGTCTTTGGCTGTTTTCTGATAAGCCCAGTTCTAAAAAACGGGGATAATTCAACCAGGCCGGCTATGTTGTCTATATGCAATCAGAAAATAGCACATAAAAGCTCCCAAAGACCATGAAGACCCCAAAAAACCCCAGTTTTTGGCATGCTATGGAGGCTAAATGCCCCCCTCCCCCTTCCAAAATGCAGGTCACTTGAGGCCAGGTTTGGGCTTGACACCAATGAAGAAAAAAAAAACAATTCATTTTAAACAAGAACTATAATAACAGTTTTTCTGTGTTGGTAGTTTAAAGTTAAAACTTTTGTTTCAACACACAAAAGATTGTCTCACCTAGAGCTTTTGACCAGTCACTCTGGTCTTCTTCAAGACTTGTTGAAAGCTCTAGGAGAGAACAATCCCTTGTGTTGGAACAAAAGTTTTAACTTTAAACAAGAATAAAGCAGGACTTATCTTCAAGTGGAGGGCAGTGACACTTTCGGTTAAAATATATTCATGTCCAGACATTTTTCTTCTAGTTAAGTGTAATGTTAAAGTGAGAAGCAAAATTTTTTAAAGCTTTTTAGTTCTAGAGTCAAATTAAGCATCAAGCCCAAATCTCAGTTATTATTGGTCTCATGAAGTTTGTGCAATTTGGAAGTCCTAGGATCCCCTTTTTAATTGTCCCCTATTCTCAGTTCTGTAACCCTACAAAAACCTCCCCTGTCTTCATCTGTCACTAATTTTCTGTTTCATTTCAACACACACAACTCTTATCATCTACCTCCTCTGGACTTCATAGTGTAGTACTTTGTCAGAAACCGCACCAATTTTAAGTACATTTTAATGGACTGTTCGGCTTTGTGTTGATGTTTTGTCTTGCTTTCTTTGTGTGTGATACAACAAAAGATGCGCTTGCACTGGCCAGACAAGTATTGAATTCTTTACAGCACACATATACTGGATGTAACAGACATGACTTCAGAATGAAACCCATTGCAGTGCTGTGGTTGCCTCATTGTGACATGCTTCTGGAGCATGCATTTTTTTGGCAATGTTTAAGGGCAAAAGATTTATCTATATCTACACTGCACAGATGAGATATAATGCATAGGTCTTGTCATGAAAGTTCATCTGTGTTGGTAGTTACATGTTTAGAGTTAAGACTTTTTGGTCCAACACAAAGAAGTTCTCTCACCTAGAGCTTTCAACCAGTCACAGTGGTCTTCCTCAGTAGACTGATACCTTTGACCCAGTGTTGATGTCACAATTCAAAGAAGCCATGTGACTAGCCTCACTGGGTCAGTCTACTAAGGAAGACCAGAGCGACTGGTTGAAAGAAGTGAGAGAACTTCTTTTGTGTTGGATGAAAAGTCTTAACTCTAAACATGCATAAATGTTAGTATGTGCATCGGTGTGATAACATGTTTAACTACATTTTTGCTGCTGTTTTTTTCTCCAGGGTCTGCAGAAGAAGCATGAGGCATTTGAGACGGACTTCAAGGTTCACCGTGAGAGAGTTGACTACATCTACTCACAGGGCAACAAGCTGATTGATGAGGTAAGGCGTTGTCTTGTAGCCCCTAATAGTGTAGATAACCCACAACAGTTCTGAATCATACAGAATGTAGAAAGCTGCAATTAAGCATACTTAGTTACTTTGTTGGGGTGGTGTTCAACACCAAGGACAGGAATATTTGTGTGTGGATAGTGTTTAGCACCAGGGACAGGAATATTTGTGTGTGGATAGTGTTCAGCACCAAGGACAGGACTGTGTGTATGTGTTTGTGCGCACTTGTGTGTGTGTGTGTGCCGTGTGTGTGTATGTGCATGCGTTCGTGCATGTAGTGCTCAGTTCTATTTGTGTGTAGATACCACAGAAGTTTTAAACCAAACTTGTATACATTTTCAGGGTAACCACCGCTCAGATGACATCAAGGGCCGTATCCAGTCTCTGGAGTCCAAGGTTCGCTCTCTAGAGGACAGCGCCACCAAGCGCAAACAGAACCTGGACGACAACTCAGCTTTCCTGCAGTTCAACTGGAAGGCAGACGTTGTGGAGTCTTGGATCGGTAAGTGTTAGTGTGTTAGTGTTAGTGTGTGAGTGTTAGTGTTAGTATTAGTGTTAGTGTGTAAGTGTTAGTGTTAGTGTGTAAGTGTTAGCGTGTAAGTGTTAGTGTGTTAGTGTTATCCTGTGTGTACGTTCTCTGGAGGACAGTGCCAACAAGTGTAAACAGAACCTGGACGACAACTCTGCTTTCCTCCAGTTCAACTGGAAGGCAGACGTAGTGGAGTCTTGGATCGGTAAGATATCATTGATGGTTACTATTACTATGGCTATACTACTGGCTACTATTTCTTAAGATTTCAGGTACAGGGGATATAAACATAAATGTTTTAAGGTGTGATATTGTGCCAGGAGTGAGAAACAGTGGTGTAAGTCATTTGGTTAAAAGGTTGTGCTAGTTCAGTACCAAGGGAATCCAGCCCCTTATATACATACAAATTACAATAGTTGTTGGATACCTAGTTCAGCACCAAGGAAAGGACCCTATAGAACTATTTCTATTGCAATGGATTCTGCATTGTCTGAAATAATTTTATGGTAGAGTATTTTCACAACAACTATCGATAATTACATTCTCTGTGCAGCTGACAAGGAGGCTACAGTATTCTCGGATGACTACGGGCGAGACCTGAGCTCAGTTCAGACCCTGCTGACCAAACAGGAGACATTTGACGCCACATCACACACCCTAGCCTAATGTCAAACTGATCTGTTATTTCTCTGTGCAGCTGACAAGGAGGCTACTGTGTTCTCCGATGACTACGGGCGAGACCTGAGCTCAGTGCAGACCCTGCTGACCAAACAGGAGACATTTGACGCTGGTCTGCAGGCGTTTGAAAAGGAAGGCATCACCACCATCACCAAGCTGAAGGACCAACTGGTGGCCTCGCAGCACGCCCAGTCTGACGCCATCAAGCAGCGACATGCAAACCTCATCAAGCGGTGGGCTTCTTTGTTTTTTTGTTTTACTGGACTCTACATTTAGTGTTACTTAAATGCACACACTTTTCATCCTGAGATCTGCCACAATACAATGAAATGCAAAGTGGTGCTCCAAATGACATTAAAACTAGAGAGTGTCAGACAGATTTTATTGGTCAAAATTTTGGCTTTGCAGGATAAGTAATGATTAGAATTTGTCAATAAGTTAATCACGATTCACTATGATTGTGTCATTGAAAAAGGATGATAGGACTGTACATGTTTTGAAGAGTCTAGATGCGATGATGATGAAATACAAATAGTGATCAACAGTGTGATGATTCGTAAATGCCCGTCTGTCAATAACTATGATTATATGAATGTCAGGGTAAATAAGGGCCTTATTTCAGTAACTCTGTACATCTGTGAAATGAGTTTATATGTTTGAAGGATCTTTGTTTGTTTGTCTCCCCCGTAGCTGGGAGAAACTGCTGGCAGACTTGAGCTATGTAAGGTAGCCAAGTGGCCAAAACAACATTCTAAGACCACATACAAAACCCCAACAATGGCATATATTGAAGGGTCTTCTCTGTTTGTTTCCCCATACATTACAGCTGGGAGAAACTGCTGGCAGACTCAGGGGCTCGCAAGCAGCGCCTGCTGCGCTCCCAGGAACAGTTTAAGCAGGTGGAGGACCTGTTCCTGCTCTTCGCCAAGAAAGCCTCGGCCTTCAACAGCTGGTTCGAGAACGCCGAGGAGGACCTCACCGACCCCGTCCGCTGTAACTCCATCGAGGAGATCAAGGTTAGAAAACCCAAAACTTATGTCCTAACACTTGCTACATAATGTAATCCAACACCACAGGGTGTCTGCTACAGCACCATGTTACCATGGTGACAGACGTCAGGTCCAGGTCATTGAGCTTATCCATGTAGAGAAGAAGAAACAGCAAAAAACAATCTTTGTTGCCCCCTCTTCCCAAATGTTCGCTGAGTCTGTCTTGTCCTGCCACTTGCTACATAATGTAATCCAACACCACAGGGTGTCTGCTACAGCACCATGTTACTATGGTGAGGCCTAGAAATAAAAATATTGTGTCTGAGGAGGACCTCACCGACCCCGTTCGCTGTAACTCCATTAAGGAGATCAAGGTTAGGCAACGCAAAAAACTATGTGATATCAGAAAGGCCTAGGGTAAAAAATGTTGTTTCCTGTTTCAGTCCTTAAAAAACTAGGGTCGGTGGATAGGGATTATCTTCTTTTTCTTACTTTTTTATTGGACTTTGGCAATCTCTAGTGATCCAACTTATACAGTTTAACTTAGTAGAGCTTGCATGACGACACTTATATTTTATGTCAATGTTACAGCCAATCGTACAGCGTTTCGTCACTCAGGTGTCAGAGCATGGAGATAGAAATGGTTGATCAGCTCCATGGTAACTGGTCCTGTAGCAGACACCCTATGGCATTGGGTTATATTATGTAGCAATTGGCAGGACAGAGCTGGAGGGGCTGGTCACCATATACTAACATTTGAATGTGTTTGAGGAAGGATAAACAGAACAATAGTTTGTTAGGCAAGACTATGTGGATGTTATCATTATGCCATTCTTGTAGAAACTTATTTTACCTTCAAGGTACAGAAAATGTACTTAACTGCTTCTAACGTTCCTCCAGGCCCTTAAAGACGCCCATGCAGCGTTCAAGGCCTCCCTGACCTCGGCTGAGGCTGACTACCAACAGCTGATCGACCTGGACAGGCAGATCAAGAGCTACAAGGTCACCAGCAACCCGTAAGTATTTTTACTTTTTATTTTTGTTTGTTTGTTTGTTTGAACCATTCTTTATTCATAAAAGCTCAAATTAGCATGCAAGCCGCTTTTCACTGAGGTCATGATGGAAGAGGTAAGGGTCAGACAAAATATATCAATAAGATAGAGTTTACATCATTCAAAGTCTACTAAAACTACACACGTCTTCCTCATGTTTTATGATACTGTAATATCATCTTGGCAGTTTTAGCATATAAATTTTCTCTTGTTCTAGTCTTTGTATAGGAACCCTGCACTGTAACTGTTGTGTACAATTTCATTGTTTTTTTTTTCATAAATTCGTTGCTGAACAGCCTTAAGATCAAGAGAAATATGAAATATGTTAAGAAATTAATAATATACTGTTTTCTTGCATTTGGTTCCTTAGTATTAATGGTGTGAGTTTTTTTCGTGACTTCTTTTGTTCTGCCCCCCACAGGTACACCTGGTTCACTATTGAGGCCATTGATGACACCTGGAGGAACCTACAGCGCATCATTGCAGTAAGGAAACCTTTCTTGTCTTGGAGTTCTCTTGTGATTATTACATGTCAAGAGACAGTCATATACAGGCTTTAGGTAGTGAAGCCTGAAGAATTGGTTTACCAAACCATTTATGAATGAACGTGTGATGTTTCAGGAGCGCGAGGCAGAGCTGAACAAGGAGAAGGTTCGTCAGGAGGAGAACGACAAACTGCGCCGACAGTTCGCTCAGCACGCCAACGCCTTCCACTCTTGGCTTCAGGAGACCAGGTGAGATTAACATGGACCTAAATAACTGCTGTGTTGTGTTGTGTATGCACCTGCCATAAGATATCTTTTATAGTCATTTATATAGATCTCTCCTCTGATAGAAATGTACAAGTGTGCTATATAACTGTCCAATCTGTTTCGTGTGTTTAGAAAAGGGATACTTACAATACTGTATTCTGCATGTATGTGTACTTAATACATCTTATCTCACTGCAATGTAAAGAGTAGTATTAGGTACTTTTCACGATGACCTCACGTTCTACTTTGTAGTCTAGTGCTGTATTCTGGGAGCATTTTATGTCAGTCCTTGTAATATGTTCTTAGCTCAGAATGACATACATGTGTATTTACATGTAGAGCTCCTGTGTCTTTGAACACATGAGGCAATCAGAGCTTTCCAGCATGTTCGGTTACCTCATAATTGGTATACGTTATATACAGTGTAACTGGACTGACAGCAGAGATGTTGTCTTAAGACTATACTGTTGTTGATAATGTGTAACAGTAGTTGTAGAATCTGATGTTGTAGTTTCTGACGTGTTTCCTCTCTCCTCCACTCCTCTCCTCTCACCTGATGCTGGACTGAAGGGCCTACCTCCTGGACGGGTTAATATCTCTCTCCTTTCCTTCTGCATGAGCAAGTCTTCAGTGTCCGTCATGTTGTCTTAACTGTTGTCCTAGTCAGAAAATTAGACTTTGAAAAAAGAAAAGACGTTATTGAATCAAGACTTAGAGTTTATACTTTTGACATTCTCAAAATTCTTAGCATTCATCCAAAAAGATTAACAGTGATCCAATCATGTTTTGGCGCCTGAAAGGTCTTTCTTTTTGATTTTGTTTATCCCATATGAATTTTTTTTAAATCGTAAGGTTGTGTTTGTTTTCAACTGGAAGCTATGCAAATGTTTTTCCTGCATTACAGTTCTTTTTTTGCTAAATTTTGCAGTTAGCATTACTGTATTTGTGGTATTTATTTTTTCCTCCAGCTAATACACATTTCAAAAATGCTTGTTATAACAAGAAGCTTTAGTTATTGTCTAAATTCATGCAGTTACATTTCCGATGTGTCAATGTCTTTGTATTGTTCATTTACATCATAATTATGTAACCCAGATATTTGTCAAAAGACTTTTAGTTATACATGTATTAGCACCTTCCATCTTTGTCTGTGTTAACTTTTGTTCTCTCTATTGTGAGTGTCCTTTGTTAATCTCTCCATTGTGTTTTCCTGTCCTGTTCAGTATTGAACTGCTTGGTCCATACCAAAAGTACCGACGTCTCATAGATGAGAGTGGCTCTAAAAGGTTTCGCTCCTGTCTATCTCTGTTTGTAAGGGACTATCCATGAGTTTACAGTGTTAAAAATACCCATCTGCATTTTGCAGACAGATTTACAATATTGCAGATTGAAGAAAAATCTGCAATTTTGATTTATTATATTGAGAAGGTTGTAGTTTGGAGGCTTGTTTATTTGCAGGAAGTGTTTCCAAATTGCAGAACAAAATTTTGATTTCAGATTTCTGAACATTGAAAAAAAATCTACCATTGTATCCATAGATGTGCATGTGTTCTGGACTCAATACACATTTACCCTTTATGTGTTTGGGCAATGGGTTAGCAGTCCCTCCCTGTATATAATACCTCCGAAATCTTACTACAAAAACCCTACTGGTCTCCATGTGATAGTCCCTTAGATAACTTTGCTTTGCTCGATTATTTCTTCTCTGCAAGAATTTCACCAGATTCTGCTTGCTGCATTTGCGCATAATGATTTTGCAACTGAGCTTGCTTCATTTGCATCTTGAGTGTGCTTTTTAAAATGTCATAATTTAATGCTTGTCAACTTCATTGCTTTTGTACATGTCATTGAACAATACAGGTATAGTAAACCATCGTTTGATATTTGTGCAAGTCAACTCCAAATCTGTATGTAATCATTTTATCAGAATGCTGTAATGTCTGTATTTATCAAGAACACTAATAGATGGAAAAACCTTGACTTGGTTTAGAACAGCTGATAATACCTGATACTTAATATTGCCTGATATCACAATGAATTATGATGTCATAGTATCACAACAGTAGGTACAGGTAGTAACTTTCCATGATGTCACAATAGCATGTAAAAATGAAAATCTAGCCTGATGTCACAAAAAGCAAGAAGTAACTTTCCATGATGTCATAGTATCACAACTGTATGTGGCAAATTTCAGTGATGTCACAGAAGCATGTAATAATAATCTAGCTCGATATCACAATGAGAGGAAGTAACTTTTGCTGTTATTTTCATTTTTAGGGCTGCTATGGTGGAGGAGACCGGATCTCTGGAGGCCCAGCTAGAAGCAACCAAGGTAGGAACTAAAAAAAAAAGAAAAGCTAAGAAAAAGAACTAATTGTTAAACCTAATAGGGAATCAAACTGACCTAAAGTCTTCTAATGAATTATTCAAGTGAAGTAGTTAAACAAAATATTTTAAAAGTTTTCATTATGATTTTGGGAAGAGACAAAGATTAAATGCCATTCTCAGCCATTCAGAATCAATGATTTTTTCATGATGATTTTTTCAACCAATCAGAATGATCAATGATTCAAGTACTATTTTCAACCAATCAGAATGACTCTTGTATAATGTCCTTGGAATGACCAATGATTCAAGTACAATCAACCAATCAGAATGATCAAGTAGAACTTTCAACCAATCAGAATAATTCCACCACAGTTTTCAGCCAATCCGAATAATTGATGCTTCAGGTAAAATTCTTAACCACTTAGAATAAATAACCAATGATTCAACTACCAAGTTTCAAGCAAACGAACAAATCACATAAAGAATGGTCCAGTGATGTTTTAGGAGAACATATTTAAACGTTGCCATGACTGTTTCTGTGGTAGGCAAGCACCAGCAACTTGGAACACCAACTGGACCTCATGAAGGTAACACTGTTGACCAACGGTTCTCACAAACTGTTTAAATGAAAAGTTGAAAAGTTATGTTGACACATTATAAAGCAGGTCAACTATAAACCAAGCAAACTAAACTTTATCATATGACCATAGAGACAACTACTGCTAACAGAGTTTGATGTTTTGTTACTACTAGTCTAAGTACCAGTGTTAACTGTTTTTGTTCCCTCTAGTTTCTTTGTTCATTACTTCATATCACCAGTTTCTATCTTGAATTTTAATATCACCACAGTGTATTTTTCACAATTTGTCTTATGGCAATGTTTGCACATATTCTTCACCTCTTTCTCTTCCATTACAAAGTTGAAACACAAAGGAGTGTCCCAAGATCGAGCAGAAGAAAAGATTTTGACTTGATACAAAAAATTGCTTACCACAATTTCACGCACCCTCCTTTTCACGCACAAACTTTTTTATTGTTCAGTCCCTGAGAGACGATGTTTCCATATAAGTAGAGTGGATTCGTTCCTCATTCTAACCATAGTCATTCCACACTAAGACACTAGTATCTGGAGCTGCTTAGTTCTTATTTTAAAATCGTGTTTTCATCACCCACAGCAAAAGTGCCAGGAGATCCCTTTTACACAACTAGTAATGTCTCTTACCTTGCTCACGTTTTGATGTCTATCAGACACCTTCCTCAGAGCTTCTGACTGGAGTTCTGCTTCTTGCTGCTGTATGTTCGTTGTTCAGTCCGAGAGATTGTTCCACACTGAGACACTAGTATCTGGAGCTGCTTAGTTTCCGTTTTGAAATCGTGTTTCCCATCCCCACAGCAAAAGTGCCAGGAGATCCGTGCCCACCGTGCCCAGCTGAAGAAGGTGGAAGACCTGGGAGCAAACATGGAGGAGCGACTCATTCTAGACAACAGGTGGGCTTAATCTCCAAGCAGAACCTAGGGTGGCAAAAGATTATCCATTGGCCAGAGGCATGGTGTATTGGACCCTCTCTGGCCAATGGATACTGCCTGGCCAATTTGATACTATCTTTTGCTACCCTAGAATCTGCTTGGAGATTAAGGTCGGCTTGCTGTTTCCCACTCTAACACTGCAGCCATGGACAGATCTATGTAAAATTGAAAATGTAGACTAAGAATTTGAATTTGAACATACTGTCCTTCGAAGAGGCCGTTAAACCTCTGTATTGTCACATTGATAAAAGTAAGGGGTCTATGCTACATGTAGTGTGTTCTGTCACAAACACTAGCACAAGCTGCAGCCAACAATAATTTATCACAGTTTACCTCAATAGAGGACAACTGCTTAAATTAGTTTCACTTAGTATTTATTCATATGACCAAGAATTGTCTTCTTGTCCCTTTGGCATGGCCATAGGATGAGCCCATTCGATCATCAAGACCCCTGTCAGCAATTGGTATCTCCCTAAAAGAAAACTCCTATGGACGACCAAGAATTAATATTTACTTGCAAATGAGAAGTACTTGTAGATCTGAGTTAGTTTTATGTGCAGAATACTAATTTGTGTTGTGTTATGCAGGTACACTGAGCACAGCACGGTAGGCCTGGCCCAGCAGTGGGATCAGCTGGACCAACTGGGCATGCGCATGTGCCACAACCTGGAGCAGCAGATACAGGCCAGGTAACCTTGTCCCTCACTTACATGTACAGTAACTCTCTTTATCTCATTGTTCTCTTATATTTCAGGCACATAATCCATAAAAATGGTAAAAGAATTCAAATTCAAGTGTTGAAGAATGTAAAAAGAATTCAAAGTCAACTATAGCCTAAAGGCTGTAGTTGCAACGGAACATGCAGATATGATAATGTAGAAACCTTAAAAAAAATGTTTAGTATAAACATTGTAGATCAGAGTATGTTCATCTCTGAAGGGTTTGACTTCTTTGGAGGCAGTGCCTAATTTGCAGTAACTGTTCCATGGATTAGATATACATACATGTACATAGACAAGAGTGAATGTTTATTTTTCTGTCTCACCAGGAACAAAGTGGGAGTATCTGAAGAGGCTCTCAAGGAGTTCAGCATGATGTTCAAGTGAGTCAAATGTTTCCTCTCCTATCTGATAAATGCAAATCGCAAATATGACCTTAAAAGAGATATTGTGCAGAAGTGCTATTCGCAATACATTTGGCAGATGTGCTCCTGACACAAATTGACACAATTATCCTTGTCACAAAGTGTAGGTGCATGATGGCAGAAAGTAACATTGCTTATTTTTGCATCTTCCGCAGACACTTTGACAAGGATAAGAGCAGGAAGCTGGACCACTGTTGCTCAGAATGGCAGTTGTACTGGCTATACTGAAAACAGATAGCAGACAATAACAGTGTTTGTTGTGTTTTCCCCAGACACTTTGTAAAGGATAAGAACGGTAAGCTGGACCACCATGAGTTTAAGTCCTGTCTGCTAAGGGAAGTTGTACCGGCTATACAGATCATGTAGAGATATAAAGCCAGACAGTAACATTACTTTTGCATCCTCCCCAGACACTTTGACAAGGATAAGAGCGGAAAGCTGGACCATCACGAGTTTAAGTCCTGTCTGCGCTCGCTGGGGTACGACCTGCCTATGGTGGAGGAAGGAGAACCTGATCCAGAGTTCCACGCTATACTCGACACGGTGGATCCCAACAGGTCAGTTAGATAATATTTTCCTCCACGACATGTCCTGGAGGTTATATTTTTAGTTGCATTTGTCCGTCTGTCTGTTGGTCAACAAGATACTCAAGAATGGCTGGATGGATAGGTTTTATAATATTATTGGTCCATTGGTAGGGTGTGACAAAAACTGGAAGTGATTACATTTTGGGCCACCTAGTGTCTTCTTTTTCTTCTCCAAACCAACAAGGTCAATGACCTGAACCAAACGTCTATCACCATGGCAACAAGTGTTGGGTTACATAATGTTGCAATTTTATAGCAGGAGGGATTTAGACTTCTGTCTGACTACATTATATGAATGTGTTTGAGTATGAATTAACAGAGCAGTCCATATGCGGAGGTAAACATTATGCATTTTATTGACATATTTTTTCTCTCTTGTGCGTCCCAGGGATGGTTACGTGTCGCTGCAGGAGTACATGGCCTTCATGATCAGTCATGAAACAGACAATTCTGCAAAACTGTTGCAAAACTCCAGGCAAAGTTCTTCTCTCTCTCCCTTGTGCCTGTGTAACATATTTTCCCTGTTCCTTCCTTTCCAGGGATGGATACGTGTCGCTGCAGGAGTACATGGCCTTCATGATCAGTTGTGAAACAGACAATACCGTAAAACTGTTTCAAAACTCCCGGTTAAGCCTTCTCTCTCCCTCCCTTGTGCCTGTGTAACTTTCATTGACGTATTTTCCCTGTTCCTTCCTCTCCAGGGATGGTTACGTGTCGCTGCAGGAGTACATGGCCTTCATGATCAGTCGGGAGACAGAGAACGTGCAGACCAGTGAGGAGGTGGAAAACGCCTTCCGGGCGATCGCCACCGAGGGAAAACCGTACGTCACCAAGGAGGAGCTCTACGCGGTAAGTCTTGCCGTCCTGATCAGCGGACAATCTTTCAGTATCGTTCTCATGGAACACGAAAATTACAATCTTAGAAATGCACATTTCTGATGATGTCAATTTTTTCCCCCAATCTTCTCTGTTAATTCTTGGTGGCATTCCTTCTAAAAGGCCCAGCCATGCATCTACATGTGAATATATGAATACACAATGCATTCATTTTCCTTTCTCTTAATGAGAATGAACACAATCTGTTGCTCTGAATCAACTGTCTTTGTTCGTCATAACAAAATGCACTCTCTATTCTCAAAAACACCTGAAAATATAGATACCAAACTAACCTGCAAATTGCTAGTGATTGTTTAGTGATACTCATATCACAGTGGTCCATGTAATGTGCACAATGTTTCAGAAACTGTAAACACCGAATTGTACGTTGATAGATGCAAAATAATGTCATTGTTCTACACACTAATCTTTATGAATGATCTTGTATCAGAATAGTCGTCAAAATCACACTAAAGATCTAGATTTGAAGATCCATAACTTCACTTAAAACTTGGCATCAGTAAAATAATACAAACTATTTTCATGCTTGAAATTTGCATGTAATCAGTAAAAACATTGTTATATGTTTCTAGATGCTGCATATTTAAGTATATATTAACAGCATGAATTTGTAGTAATATTTGCAAATGAAGTCAGGTGTGACTAATGTATTGTTTACTACATTGTATGTTGCTATGATATAACCCTGCTTGAACCACCCGGCACCCATGGCTACCCGTAGAGTACAGACATCCAGACACACTCTCCCTGCTTCCTAGTAGTCAGCTTAGCACTCTGCACCTTCCCTCTGATGTAGACACAGGGTTTGGATGTTTTCATGGACAGTCAAGACTCTTTTAGGCACCAAGTGTTAAATACCTAGAGAGACAATAGACTCTAAACTGAACCAAGTGTAAACCAGCACCAAGAGACCATGTCTAGTGAGATATTAGACGTTAAAGAAGGACAACAACAGTCAACAGAAAAGGGTCCACCTCCAAGCCTGAAGGCCCTCCTAGCCTGGATGCCAGACCCCAGCTCAACACAATACTCCCTTCGGCTAGGGAAGGCCACAAGCCCAGATCCCAGAGCGCCTGGGGTCTAATGATTTTGTCTATCTGAGAGGTTGTGTATGGTAAAATTTTCGGGGCCAAGGAGCTAGCCTGTATACTGCCCTGGCAGCAGTCTGGCAACCAGGCTAGAAGTTCCCGTGCTAATGAAATGGAATGTTGGCCTAAGGGTCTCCTTGTGTAGCCAAAAGGTCACTGAAACTTTGGCAGAAAAAAAACAACACAAACCCCTAAGGCTTGATTTAACTACCCGATTAAATTATTTACGGAACATATTTTTGTGAAACCCTGGGACAATTTAAGAAGTAAAATTGTTAAAATCATGAGAAACATCATGTAGAAAGAGAGTTAACACTATCATAATGATAGATCTAAGTTTGGCTGCCATGGAAAACAGCAGTGGCTATGGATTTGGCCCTTCGTTATTTTTAGAAAGCATGCATTGACAAACCCTGTGTACTACATTGTCCAGCATCACCCCTTTTCCTACACAGACACCATAAAATTATTTCTCTCACCATATATAATATTTTTGCTTAGCAGTATCCTATTGCTGCTGCTCCCCCTAGTGCCTGCACCCTGTAATGCAACCGTCATCCATTCATCTGCAGCTAGCGCCCTTGCAAATCTTTTTTTTTCTCTCTTTTTTTTGGCATTAATTTTTGTAGCATCTGAATCTGCCTTGCTCTCGAGGGTCTTATGAAATCCACTTGTCTTCTGCAAATTACAGTATCCAAAATTTTTAACGGAAAGGTGGATCATTTTAACAAAATTGTCACCAATTTGAATTATTTTGTTTCCATTCTTGAAAAATTCTCAGTACAATCACTTTACAATCAACAATGATTTTCTTCAATATCATGTACATTCAAAGAAGCCATCTTTTAATGCAATCGTCTGCCAGATTTTTCCTTCATAAAAAAGGCAAATGATTCTTCTGAAGGGAAAGCTATCCTGTCTGAATTTGAGACATGTTTGTAAGACCCTCTGTAGTGCCAGGCCGGCTCCCCTCCCGCGCCTCTCTAGCCCACGCTCTTCTAATCTCCAAGCAGATCATACGGTGGCAAGGCAGTATCCATTGGCCAGAGGAGTGTCCATTAGCCACCCAAGATGGATACTGCCTGGCCATATGATACTAAAAGCCTCCAGTTTAATTCCAGACTTCAAGTTTAATTCCAGACAAATTCCATATCTCAGCAACTGTACATCTAGATGGGGTAATATCATAAACTATAAGTAAAAATAATGTAAGAAATATGTACTATACATAGCAGCCCAAGGTTCTCAATGGCTGCTACATATTTTTCACATCATTTTTACCTATAGCTTACAAAATATTAGCCCATGTAGATGTAAGGTTGCTGAGATATGGGAATTAGTCTGGAATTAAACTGGAAGTCCAGAAAGAAGCTGGAGGCTGCTAGTATCAAATGGCCACTCAGTATCCATCTTGGGTGGCTAATGGATACTCCTCTGGCCAATGGAATTAAACTGGAACTCCAGAATCAAACTGGAGGCTGTTTACTGTCTTTTGCGGCCACTGAAACGTCAATCTGGTTGGAGATTACCGCACTCCTCCTCCCTGTGCACTTCATGGGGCATGTGTCACTTCTCGTCCACAGCACCTGACTAAACAGCAGGCGGACTACTGTGTGAAACACATGGTCCTCTGGAAGGACTCCACCGGCCGAGAGGTCCCCGACCACTACGACTACAGAGACTTTATCCAAAAACTCTTTAACAGTAACACCTACTGACCTCACCTCTGTCGTAAGTTTAAAGCTCCATCTCTCTCTCTGTCTCTGAGACTCTCTGTCTCTGGCCTGTCTCTTCTTGTCTTTGATCTGTGCCTGCTATAGTCTTACTGTACTGCCTGCCACACTTTGTAATGACTCGTGCAGCTTGTACAATGTACAAGTAGCTCTGCACACACCCCAGTACACCAGGAGTTACTAGTGCTGTGTCTACTTTGTACACTGCTGAACTGATGTTTTTTTTTTCTATTTGGCCCTCACATTTTCCTTAGCACTACCGGTACACTGAAAACTCACATGGGGCTTTGTTTTTTTTTAAGTTGAATCTGTTGCATCAGATTTTGTAAACCCACGTGTTTGCATTCAACACATAAGTCAGGAGGTGCCACAGATTCACAGGTCATTATGATCACTTGGTGTACTGGGGACTCTTTGCAGGAAAGGAGAGGTGGAATGATTAAACAAAAACACATTTGAAGCATACACTCCTTTTTTTCAAATGCCCCCCATAGGACCTGGTCTTAATATATGAAAATTGTATACTGGCAAGAATTGGAAGTGTAAAAAATTTGTGGAAAAATGGCCTAGATAAGACTGCTCTCTTGACACACATGCAGTTGAAAATGCAACCAAAACAACTTCATGGACCATTCTGCCTCTCCTGTATCTTACATGTAGCTATGCCACTTTCTCTAAGACATTTCCACATACATGTACTCCATACAATGTACCAATCACTCTCAGTGTCTGCACGCATGTGGCTCTGATTCCAGTGATGTTGTTTACAGTCTCAATTGTCTCATGATTTTAAGGAAATGACATAAAATGTGATGTGATGTCTTCTCTTCACAGTGGCAGTGATGTACCAGTAATGTTTTAGTTCATTGCCGTGTTGTGCTAGATCTTGTTGTTTTCTGTCTCTGGGCGATGAACGTTGTGCTTGCTTGCTTGTCTGCCTTCAGTCTTTGCACTGCAGCACTTCCAAATACATCATATTAAAACAATAACAGAAAAGGCTATACCACTGGAATGACAAAGTGAAACCTTTTTTGTTTAAAAGCATCATCAAAACACAACAATTTTAAAGTTCGAAGCTGTAGTCAAAGATCTCAGTCCAATGTAATTCATAATAATTTAACCCAATATTTTCTTTATCTTGGGTCACACACAGAGATGTTTACTAAAATGCAATGTACTATGAGTATGAAGCTACTCATAAATTCCTGAGAACACATTTATATACTTTCTCACACCAATTATGAGGTTCAAACAAGATCTTCCAGTTCTACACAAGTCATCACATTGGCATGGCCTTTTAAGATCAATAGTAAGCAACAGAAGCCTGTTTTGCTACATGCTTTATTATAGGAAGAATAATTTTTGCATTGCACAGTCACCATGTTTTTAATTTGCACATTACATGTATGTTGTAATAAGTGTCTGATTTCCTATGTGTATTTTGCAAAGTGCACATGCCAATGCTAAACCAATGCTAAACTAACATTGGGCATGCAGCAATGTCTGTGTACAGGCCACAGCAGTATAGTTGAATTATCTGAATAATATCCACAAAGAACACTAACTTGCAAATCATTTTATGTAGTACCAACTGTACTATATTGTTATGAGATGGTTATGCTATAGCTCATTTCAGTCAAGCAGCATTTGTTCAGCACTGCCAGAAAATATTTTAACTTTAACTCACTGACATACAGTTTTATACACAACTGACACTCAGTATTCCGAAAGCCCAAATATGAATTGCTTGACTGTGAGTTTTATATTTGATTGCAGGAGATTTTTGGATGGACCAAGATGGCATTTGCACTTTGCTGACCCCTCAACCTCCCTCCTTTTACGATCACTTTTAATAAAAGTGATCGAAACTACCAACTCAGAATAACTTCCATGCTAATGAACACGAAGAAGATTAAAATCATTTGTTATTGAACATGTACAATGTACTTATGAAATAAAAACTAAACTTTAACTGCCAACACAACAGTGAATTGGGAAATTTTGGCTGTTGGCAGCTAAAGTTTAGTGTTTTTTCATGATGACTTGTACCAACACAGATGAACTTTCATGCTATGTACAATGTACATTTTTCTGACTCAGATTTCGTCGCCTTTTTTACAGAACCTGACAAAGGACCAGGCAGAATACTGCATCCTGCGTATGAAACCTTACGTCGACAACCGAGGCCACGAAATCACCGGCGCGCTCGACTACATAGACTTTACCCAGTCCCTATTCGCCAACTAATTCCCCCAACCCCTTCTTAGCCTAGTAACCAACCTTACAATGTATTACCCGCTATGCTACCGAATATAGTTACTCAGTATGTTAGTCTTATTGTGCTGTTGCATGTTTGTTGTGTGTGTGTGTTTACATTTTACCATCTTACTGGCCTGGAAAGCTGCCTTGCACAGTTTATAGCAAGGGTCTGCGTCATCAAGCCACTACAGTTACGTAGAAAGAAGTTAACACGAGTAGGTAGAAATTGCTAAGTAATTGCAAAGTATGCTACTGAAATAAGACCCAATGTTAACCAATGTAGTTACCCAAGAATAGGTACCCAACTGCAGTCATTGAAGTTTAACTAACCTTACTACCATCTAGCTTTCTCTGCTGATAGTGAATGATAAAAATAGTATATGCAAGAAGTTTGATTACAATTAGCAACTGTCATTACAATTAGTCAAACCAATACAAAGTATTTGAATTAGATCTCACCCAAATACAAGTAGTTCATATATCCAGTAGAGAGACTGTGTGGTTGTACTCTTTGCTATAGTTAAGACCTAAATTTGCAAGTGCCCATGTAACAGTTGGGCAGAGACTTGACCATATAGAAAGTCTCCTTGCAGTTTCCGTCAGACCATTTTGTTAGCTTTGTCTGCAAAGCGATGCAGTTTTAGATGTGTGTTTTCATGATAGCATTGAGTGAGGATTGGTGATGAAAAATTGTAGCTCTCGGAGCTGCTGCATGTTACCGTATATCAACAGTGGTGATTTTGCAAGGAGCTCAAGAAAACTGTAATTGGAAAATAATGATTGTACACCAGCTTGTTTGAGAAAACTATACCATTCCTGAAATGTTGTCATGATTTTAGCATTAATCGTCATTCGTAGAAGTGTAGGAATTTCGAGTTCTGGTACTTGAATTTGTTTCAGTTGTTTTCCACTAAGAAGTGTTTCCATACTTGTGTTTTATTCCTGAAATGTGCACACTGTATGGTTCAATCTTGTTCACTGTTTGTGGCATGCTGACAGCACAATAAAGTAGTATCACTCCTGAGCTTCGTTTTGTTTTAAATTTTTAGATATCATTGGTACAAGAAGATCCTTAGTGAGTGAATGTGTACTGCAAATTCCTTGCCTACTGGCTGTATTACGTTAAGACAATCAGACAAGAACTGGTATCACTATGCAGTTTTATTTTCATCAGATCATCCATACATGTAGCAACAAGTCACCAGATAGGATTTCAGGAACAATTGATATTAACAAGACATTGGAAGACTGAATGACGCCAGAGATGGCTTTGTGATACGTTGAACAAGACGTATTAAAGTGTTTGAAAACCATTTGCACCTTTCGAGCAAGCAACCGTGACTTACTTGACGGCCATATTCTCATAAACTAGAAGATAATTTCCACAAACTTTGAAAGAATTCCCGTGAAATTACAATAATCATAAAGAAGTTTCTCTTAGTCTGTACAATCACCGTTGGTTTGTGCCAACTGCAACGCTTCTTGGTGAAAAGCACGGTAGCAAAGAATGGAACAGTCCGATAACACTGCTATAGTATGGACGGATGAAAGTCCAGCTAGAATTCTTAAAAGAATCTACTGAGACTGTGTGTAACTCAAGTTTTCTAGCCACTGTAGCTAAACTAATAGTTCGCCCAGGCAAGTCGGAGACATAGGTTTCTTGGGATGAAGTTGGTTGCAGAAATGTCCCATGCCAGTACGTCGATGAAGGTTAGACATCCAGGTAATAATAATACGGTACACCAAAAACAGTTACTCAAGCAGCTGGATATGATTTTGGAAATGGTCAGACGTTTTAGCTAGTATCCACAAGCTTTCACAGTCACTGACAAAAGCTAGTGGATACTAGCTGAAACGTCTGACCGTTAACAAAATCATATCCAATTGCTTGAGTGCTGCTTTTTGGCGTGTCCCATGCCAGGTAGTGTAGAATTTTGCTGCACATGTAGATGGATCTGGAAGGCTGTCTAGAAGCGGTGGATCGTCTGTGATGTGACGTCCCATGTTGAAGGTGGGCACAGTCGGATCAGTCGCCACCTGCAGAATATTAAAGTAGAAAGAAAACTTAAGTGTTCTAACGCCAAATAAAATTTTACCAAGCCCAACATGCTCACTTATCACATAGTAAAATGATGAACTTTATTCCAACACATAGATTACACAGAGATCAACGTCGAACCACTGTCGCCATCATCAGGATAATTAATGACAAATCACTTCAAAACGTAAAGTTGGAATAAAGTTAAACATTTTACTATGATATATATAAACTACCAACATGTGAACTTTAAACGATAATGCTCAAGTTATCTGTGTGTGAAAGGAAGAGTACTGATGATGATTTTAGAAAGTTTTACATCTTTGTGTAGTTAGACCGACAAACTTACGTTATAAACAGAAACATTTCAGGGAGTTGGAAAGGGTCTCTTTTTACAAAAAATAAAACCCTTTTTAAAAGCAGGAGTCCGATTATGTCCCGACTAGTCCTGGGAAGATTTCGAGCGAGAGTGAGTGAGTGACTTACTGAGTGAGTTTACGATGATGTGATAATTCTACTTTTCTAGCCTATAAATAAGGGGGGGTTCTGTCTCGGTACACGATGGCAGATACAGATAGGACATTTCCTCAAGCTCAGGCAGTTGGAAAGAACTTCCTTTACCAAGAAAATTATTCTGAAAAAGATCATGATTCGTAATCACAGGTGACGACCACAACCAATTTATATACTATGTACTATTATTCTAAGACATTTGTGCACACACCTTAGCCTCTACCGGGCTTGAGGAGGCGGCTGGGAAAAGAGTAGAAATCGGCCAAAATAGAGAGA